TTTTTGACAGAATCTATATTCTGTAAAAAAAATTTCGACAAAAAATATTTTCGTCCAAATTTTTGTCAAAATTTTTTAATGACCAAATCTACATAAAAGAAAAATTGACATAAAATATTTTTGTTGAAAATTTTGACTGAAAAAATTGCATCAAAATTCCGTCGAAAGTTTCAACAAAAATATTTCCATCTAAATTTTAAACGAAAAATATTTCCGTAGAAAATTTGGACGGAAATCATTTCGGACAAAAATTTCGACGATTAAAAATTCCATCAATTATTTTTACGGAATCTAAATCCCATCGAAACTCGAAAAAATATTTTCGTCAAAATTTTGTAAAAACAATGTACGTTTTGATGATAACAATGTGATAATAACAAAAAAGACAAGAGTATTTGATGCCAAAAGCGCATAGAAAAAATGGCTAAATAGAAAGTTAAGATTTTCAGAAAAGAGTAACGCTCAAGTTCTCAATTTTTATTTATCAAAATAACAAAATTCAACTCTTACAATAAAGGTTATAAGCAATCTTTTATAGACTAATTACAAATTAATCCAAAATTCAAAATTCAAAATCTTAAAAATAAGAAAATTCGTATAATAAATATAATAGTAATTATCGAAAAATACAAAAATAATTTCAATTAAATCATTAAAAACACGTCCCAAATCATAGATCTCAAATCATGTTAAATGTGTTGCTTTTTTTTTCTTGTAAAACAAATCACAATCATATCTGATGCTTCTTTTGAACTTGGATTTGACTGTAATTTGTTATATTTTAAATTACCATTTCTTTTAACAATTAGGCCACATTTATTGGGCCACAATTCTAATTGACTCCAAGCTTCTTAAATCAATGGTTCAACCATGTGCAATGAGACAACTACAAGTGCATCATTCTCCTCTGCTAGGAAAAGATTCGTCCAGAAATCTTCTTCATCTTCACTGATATCAATCTCTATAGGTAAAAACTCAAGTGATAATTCTTCCTATATTAGATCTTCATTATTGGATTCTCCATCAAATTTATCATAGACTGGATTATCATCATAAACTGAATTTTCATCATAAGATAATCATCATAAATGAGATAATCATCATAAATCGAGTAATATTAATAAATTGTATTTGGTCATAGCAACCAAAGTCAGGAATGTTGATTTACATCTCGATATCTTGAAAAATAGACTGATTTTCAGGTTGTACTTTCCAATTCTGTCCCTAGTTTAGAATCCCCAAGGAATTGTCGTCCTCATCTTCGTCATCAAATGCGTCCTCCAATGTCATTCCTTCTTCGGATTGAATGCTCAACTTTATTCACGAAAGTCGCCGCTCCAAATCTTGTAATTTCATGTTATGCGCCTCCACAATTTATGGCTACAAAACTTGGATTTTCTTGCTGTGAGCATGCACGAGTTGTTGCTCCAAATCTTGGATTTTCTTGCTCTATAGCTGCACAATTAGTCGCTCCAAAACTTGGATTTTCTTGTCCAACACCTGCTCAAGTTGTCACTTCAAATCCTGGATCTGTCTTCCGAACTCTTCATTTTCTATGTCTCGCGGGTCTATCTGAACACAGTTGTTCGTCTTCTTTATGAACAAATCCACATCCCTTGCCTTCACGACTCCGCCATCCACGACCTCGACGATTCTATTCAGCCATTGGATGAAGGCAACCTAATACTTTGATACCAAATGATGCCAAAAGCGCATAGAAAAGATGGCTAAATAGAAAGTTATGATTTTGTAAAAGAGTAATCCTCTGGTTCTCAATTTCTAATTATCAAAATAACAAAATTTAACTCCTGCAATAAGGGGTCATAAGCATCCTTTTATAGACTAATTATAAATTGATTTAAAATTCAAAAACCTAAAATCCTAAAAATAAGGAAAATTTATAAAATAAATATAACAATAATTAACTTCTAAAAATACGTAAATAATTAAAATTAAATCATTCAAAACACGTCACAAATCTTAGATCTCAAATCATACCAAATGTGTTGGTTTCATTTTCTTGCCAAACAAATCACAATCATATCTGCTGCTTCATTTGAATTTGGATTTAATCGTAATTTGTTATACTTCCAATTATTGTTTGTTTTAACAATTAGGCCATACTTATTTGGCCTCAATTCTAGTTGACTCCTAATTTCTTGAATCAATGGTTGGGCCATGGGCAAACTGTAATTGCATTAGTATTTATCAAGAGCAAAAAGCATCAATCATGCACAATGATCAAGCCACACAAGTAAAATAATTAGACATTAAAGTGGCAACAACATAAATGAATTTTGAGGAGAAGCAAAGAATCAAGAGCAATGCACCAAAAACAACAGAAGAATAAAACAATAAGCAACAAGAAAACAAGTCAAGAAGAACAAGACCAAGCGCATTAAGTTTGTGTTGAAATGAACAAACCAAGAATCCATGCAAAGAGCAATGAAACAAAGTGTAAAGTATTGTTGAATCCAACAAGTCAAAAAGTATCAAGCTTTAGTGAAGAATCAAGATCTAAGATTTAACGCAACTAGCTAAGTTCAATTCCCTATTAGAATAGACATTTAGGATTTAGTATGATTGTAAGGGTATGTGGTAGATTGTATTGCATGAACTCAAATTAAATTCAAAGTTGTATATTTTAAATTGCAGACAAATTTTGGAAATATATCTCAAACATAGATGGAAGATGATTTAACAAATTTTAATCTTATAAGTACATTTTCAAGATTATTTTTTATATTTCTAAATGTTAGAAACATGTTTGAATGAAAAATGAATGAGTTTGATAAAAGTTTATAATCTTGAATAAGGTTGGAAATTAATTCCCACCTATTGGGAATAGATTCCATGATACTAGAAGGTTGGGAATCAATTTTTCCCGCTTGAGAATCAATTTCCACATGCACCAGAAATTAAATAATAGCTACAAATGGTTATTTTTCAATAAAATCATTATATATACATTTTCAATGTCTCTAAAATGTTTTGATCTTCACTATATATATCAGAAGGATATTTTGAGAGTATTTATACCATCTCTTATGCATCTTGAGATTATTTCTAAAGATCATTCATACTTGAACTCATTTCTTGAAAAATCAGTACCTATAAAGCTTCAATTAGTATCATTCACACTTTGAGAGTGTGAATCCACTCATATTCCATTCTTGTACTTAAATTGAGTGGTTTGGGGTAAAGAGGCCTAAAGGTTGTGAAAGTTACCAAACACTCGTAAATTTGAAAGAAGTTGTAAGGTTACCAAGTACCCATAAACTTGTTGGTTGTAAGGTTTTGAGGCACAGGAAAGCTTGGAGATTGTAAACGTTTGTCAAGCACATGTGAACCTTGACGAATAATAAAAACTTGTTGAATGACTAATAATCTAGATGTAGGTCACGATGATAGTGACTTAATAAAGATAAATTAAGTTTGCATTTCTCTCAACTCTTATCTTTAAATTTTAGCACTTCAATTCTTTATTGGATATATTATATGTGTTGACATTGATGATATATTTGTAATAGTTTCTAAGAAATGTGTTATCTTTATTTCTTTTTAATCTCTTCATATATCAAAACTTGAATGAAGTTGAAATTTACTAACAAGAAGGAGGCTTTTATAAAAATCTTGTCATAATCAATTTACTCTTCTCTTAGTATAAAAATCACATTTCTAATAATTTTTGCATAAAATACCGACATCCAAAATAATACAAGTACATATGAAACAAGGTCGTATATAGGTCAAACAATTCCAAATCATCAACTAAAATTGAACCATAAAAATTTAACATTGTAACAATTAAATTAGATATCCATACATACGTGTGGGTTATAACCCAAAATGAATATAAGGATAGCATTAAGCTGTGACCTAGAAGAATTGTTCCATTTAGTGTGAGCCTAACTATCTGAAATAGAGTACAAAAATAATATGTCACTACTCAGTGAGCAAATAATTAAAAATATAATAAGTGGGACACGATAGTATAAAATATAAACTGCAAACTCCAATTATAAAATCATAGGGTTAAATCCTATTCAATGAATAAAAAATAGAGATTATGATTTTTCAAATAAGAATAATATTTAAATCAAGGTAAGTATTCAAATGAAACTCCAACATACTTGTTATAAAAAAAGTTATAATGACAATAATGTCTGACTTTATTAACTAGCTCCTCGTCTGAAATCAATTCATGATATACCAATATTAACACATACAATTTCTAGTACACACACATATATATATATGTACACACACATATATATATATATGTATATATATATATATACTGTAATGAATGCAGATAAATTATTTTCATTGAGCCCAAATCAATATCATTTTTGGATAAAAATTAAGGTGTTTTTGTAATTATAATTTATTATAAGGTTATAATAATCTTTATTGTTATAATTTTTTAATCTTTCAAGCTAAAATAATAATATTTTGAGAATAAATATAAATAATATATTTGCATTCACTATAAATATATTAAATAACCATTATATAACTGTTATGATCGTTGGAGACGTTATGACTGTTGGAGACGTGATAACTGTTAGAGACGTTATGACCGTTAGAGACGTTATGACTGTTGAAGACATTATGACCGTTGGAGAATAATTGCAGTTATTGTAACTTTCATATTTCTGAGCCTATATATAAGGAATGTATAAAGCATCATTGGAGTATGACAATACAACCAGAATACATTCCCCTATCTCTCTTATCTCTATATTCTTCTTCTAATTCTTATTAATTTTACAACACGTTATCAGCACGAAGCAAAAGAGAATTGCAATCCGGAAGTGTTCTTTTGTAAATTGTAGGGGCAGCTCCATCTACTGCTTCATCGGTGCCACCGCCACCATAATATGGATATTCCCAAACATTCAAATGGACCCAAGGTCAATGAATATGATATATGCCTCGCAGATAGTGCTACTATTCACACAATATTAAGAGATAAAAAATATTTCTCTTATTTGATAATGGAAGAAGGTCATGTTAACACAATAATTGGTAGTACAAAATTTGTTGAAGGCTCTGGAAGAGCAAATCTTTTATTACCTGGGGGGACCAAATTCAATATCAATGATGCATTACTTTGTAGTAAGTCCCCAAGAAACTTATTAAGTTTCAAAGATATTCGCCAAAATGGCTATCATATAGAATCTACAAATGATGACAATTGAGAATATCTTTATATTACTATAAAAGTAGCAGGTAAGAAATATATATTAGAAAAATTACCTGTCTTTTCTTTCGGTTTGTACTCTACAAATATTCGCATGGTTGAAACACATGTGATGTTAAATCAAAAGAATACAAGTTATGATAATTTCATTATTTGGCATGATCGATTGAGCCATCTCGGATCAAATATGATGCGAAAAATAATAGATAATTCATATGGTCATCAATTAAAGAACCCGAAGATTCTTCAATTCAATGAATTTTCTTGTGTTCCCTGTTCTCAAGGGAAATTTATTACTAGACCATCACCAGCTAAAGTTGGGATTCAATGTCCTTCGTTTCTGGAACGCATACAAGGTGATATATGTGGACCCATTCATCCATCATGTGGACCATTAAGATATTATATGGTTTTAATAGATGCATCTACAAGATGGTCACATGTATGTTTATTATCAACTCGCAATTTAGCATTTGCGAGATTGCTGGCTCAAATAATAAGATTAAGAGCACAATTTCCAGATTATTCAATAAAGACAATTTGTCTTGATAATGCTGGTGAATTTACATCTCAGGCTTTTAATGATTATTGTATATCAACTGGAATCACAGTTGAACAGCTTGTTGCTCATGTTCATACCCAAAATGATTTAGCATAATCATTCATTAAACGTCTCTAATTAATAGCTAGACCGCTGCTTATGAGAACAAAACTCCCTATTTCGGCATGGGGATATGCTATTTTACATGCAGCATCACTTGTACACATTAGACCAGCAAGTTATAAAAAATTCTCCCTATTACAGTTGGCTTATGGTCAGGAGCCAAATATTTCTCATCTTAGAATTTTTGGATGTGCTGCTTATGTTCCAATTGCTCCACCACAACGTACAAAGATGGGTCCCCAAAGGAAGTTAGGAATATATGTTGGATATGAATATCCTTCCATAATACAATACCTTGAACTAATAACGGGGAATTTATTTAAAGCAAGGTTTGTCGATTATCATTTTGATGAATCAATCTTTCCAACATTAGGGGGAGATAATAAATAGATGGAAAAGAAAATTGATTGGAATGCAATATCATTATCTCATTTACATCCTCGAACAAATCAGTGTGAACTTGACGTTCAAAAGATAATTCATTTGTAAAATATTGCCAATCAACTACCAGATGCTTTTACTGACCTACCAAAAGTTACTAAGTCTTATATTCTAGCTGTAAATGCTCCAATTCAGATTGATTTCCCAGTAGGATGGTCTAGTGCAAATGAAACTAAACCACGCTTAAAACGTGGAAGACCAATCGATTCTAAGGACAAAACTCCTCGAAAAAGGAAAAGAGCAAAGGATCAAGATGGTCATATTATGGAGACAAGTACTTATGAAAATCCTAAAGACATAACTTTACATAAAACCTCAGGGGAGGTTCAGGTACCTGGAATTGATGAAAATGAAGAGCTCTCAATTAGTTATGTTACTTCAGGAAAAAGATGGAACCGAAATGATATAGTTGTCGACAACATTTTTGCATATAATGTTGCTATTGAAATAATAAAAGAAGACGAGGATCTTGAACCTAAAATTGTTGATGAATGTAAACACATAAATGATTGGCCAAAATGGAAAGACACAATTCAAGAATAATTGAATTCACTCGAGAAACGTAAAGTTTTTGGTGTGGAACCAATGCAATCTTCGTAAAGAATATAAAGGTTCAACAATTTGATGATAACAAACAAGCATGGAAAGAAAGCTTCAAAGTGCAGCCATTAAAAAGAAGTTTAAACAAGATCAAGATTCAAGCTTCAAGAGAAGTCTCTAAGTCCAAGCAATCTCAAAGTAACATATTATAGGACTTAGGATTTTTTGAAAGGGTAATTGATTCCTTACATGAACAAAGCTCAAAGTATTTTTTAAATACATGGATTAAATCATTGCTTGACATTCAAATACATTCCTAGCATGAAATGTATCTCTCAATGTTTGACAAATGTTTGAAAAAGATTTGAAACTGATTTGGATCAAGAGAAAACCATTTTGGGATGAAATCCAACCTTTCAACAAGTTGGTAATCGATTACCCAAGCAATGGTAATCGATTACCATGAAGGGTAATCGATTACCTACTGTGCAGAAGACAAAATAACGGCTATAAAACGGCTAGTTTACGAAAATGAGTGAAAAAACACCCACGAGGGCCCTCTATAAATAGAGATTATTGTTCCCCTTGATGGGACACACTTCTTGATCATTATTACTAATTTATTATCATTCAAGTTGCATTATTCTTGTCTTCTTGATCATAAATTCTCTTTGAGCTTTATTCTTTTGAGAGTGTCAACAACCATTGCTCTTCAACTTGTATTATTTGTACTTTGAGATTACTTAGCCATTGTCAAACACATCCATTTGATTTCTTGAATAGTTAAGAGAGTGAACCCTATACACTTGAGAGGTCACCAAATTTCTAAGAAAATTTGGAGAGAAAAATTGTAAGGCATCAAGAGCCCGAAGTCTTGAAAGGTTGTAGTGGTTTGTCAAGTACCCTTAAGCTTGATAACTAGTGAAAAGATTTGATCGAGCGGCTTTAGTCTGGACGTTTGTCACGGTGGTGGTGACCGAACCAGGATACATCTAGTTTGCAATTTCTCTAACCTTAAACTCCTTACTTTAGTATTGAAATTGTATTTTTAGATTGTGTTCATTTATTTGCTTGCTTACTTTATTAATCACACACTTGCTCCCACACTTAGATTTTTCCTTATTAAATCACTTTATTGAAGAAATACTCATTAAGATATCAAAGGAGGAACTTTGCGAAAAGTTTTTATAAAACTCAATTCACCCCCCCCCCCTCTTGAGTATTGAAGCCACTTGTCCAACATTGGGACCTGCAGTTCAAACACCTGAAGGTATAAAGCCAGTGGGGTACAAATGGTTTTTATTTGAAAACGTAATGACAAAAATGAAGTCGTAAGATATAAAGCACGACTTGTAGCACAAGGGTTTTCGCAAAAGCCTTGTATTGATTATATGGAAACATATTCTCCTGTGGTAGATGCAATAGCTTCAGATATCTTATTAGTTTGGCAGTATATGAAAGACTTGACATGCGTCTAATGGATGTAGTTACAGCCTACTTATGTGGCTCACTTGATAGTGAAATTTATATGAAAATCCCCGAAGGATTCAAAATTCCTGAAGCACTTAAAAGTTCTCGGGAAATTTGTTCAATAAGACTTCAAAGATCATTATATGGATTAAAGCAATCAAGGCGTATGTGGTATAATCGCCTTATTGAATATTTATTACAAGAAGGCTACAAAAATGACCCAATTTGCCCTTGTGTTTTTATTAAAAAACATAGATCTAAATTTGTTATAATAAGTGTATATGTTGATGACTTGAATATCATTGGCAATACTGAAGAAATTTCAAAAGTAGTAGATTATTTGTAGAAAGAATGCGAAATGAAAGATCTTGGAAAGACTAAGTTTTGCCTTGGATTACAAATTGAGCACTTAACAAATGGAATATTCATCCATCAATCAACTTATACAGAGAAGATTTTGAAGCGATTTTACATGGATAAAGCATATCCATTGAGTACCCCGATGGTTGTGAGATCACTTGACATAAATAAAGATCCATTTCGACCCTATGAAAATGAGGAAAAGCTTCTTGGTCCTGAAGTACCATATCTTAGTGCAATTGAGGCACTAATGTATCTTGCTAATAGTACACGTCCAGATATAGCATTTTCTGTAAACCTGTTACAAGATTCAATTCCTCTCCAACACGAAGGCACTAGAATGGTGTTAAGCATATATTTCGATACCTTCGAGGAACCACTGATGTGGGTTTACTTTATTCAAATGATTGTGGACATCAACTTGTTGGTTTTGCAGATGTAGGATATTTATCTGATCCACACAAAGCTAGATCCCAAACAGGATATTTATTCACAAGTGGAAGTACGACAATTTCATGGCGTTCAACAAAGCAAACTATAGCAGCCACTTCTTCAAACCATGCAGAGATAATAGAAATTCACGAGGCAAGTCGAGAATGCGTTTGGCTAAGATCAATGATGCAACACATCTGAGAAGCATGTGGTCTCCAGTTAGAAAAAGGGGTTCCAACAATATTGCATGAAGATAATGCTGCTTGTATAGCTCAATTAAAGGGAAGATATATCAAAGGAGACAAAACGAAGCATATTTCACCAAAATTCTTCTTCACTCTTGATCTTCAACAAAATGGTGAAATTGATGTTCAACAAATCCGTTGAAGTGATAATTTGATAGATTTATTTACCAAGGTGTTACCTACTTCAAGTTTTGAGAAGCTCGTTTACAAGATCGGGATGCGTAAACTTAGAGATATTAAATAATATTATCATCAGGGGAGCGAAATAAGTGCTGCACTCTTTTTTTCCTTCACCATGGTTTTGTCCCATTGGGTTTTCTTGGTAATATTTTTAATGAGGCAGCTTCTAATACATATTTCTTTTCAATAAGATTATTGGACATCCAAGAGGGAGTGTTATTAACAATTTATTGGCTGTCCATATTCGTTATATAACTGTTATGATCGTTGGAGACGTTATGATCGTTAGAGACATTATGACTGTTGGATATGTTATGACCGTTGGAGAATAATTGCAGTTATTGTAACTTTCATGTTTCTGAGCCTATAAATAAGACATGTATAAAATATCATTGAAGTATGACAATACAACTAGAATATATTTCCCTATCTCTCTTATCTCTATATTTTTTTTTAATTTTCATTAATTTTACAACAGTAATTAGCGTTTTTTTCTAATTTCACTCACAGTTGGCATTATACATTTACACACTAGAAGGGGTCATCCCTTCAAAGGTTTTTCTTTTTATTTTTTGTTGAGAATCCTTAATTACTGCACATTTATTGCACCGGATAGATAATATAGTACTATTATAAAAGTTATTATTATTTATTTATATTATGGAAAAACACTATTACATTTACTGACATTAAATGTGAGCTTATCAGACAAAATCCTTTTTTTTTTTTATGAAATCTTTTTATCATATTGATCTTTTATCTTTTCTTGTCCACAAACGAGCTCCAAGTGCACAATTGTTCAACAATTTAAATTGACAATGCGTCGCAAACTTGCCCCCATCTGTCTCTATTAAAACTCATGATGTTGAGATGTGGTTAAAGAACTCACCAATTTATATATATATATATATATATATATATATATATATATATATATATATATAAACTCACCATTCATGTTTTCTTTTATGACTCTTAACTTTGATAATAAATGATTTGTTTATTTGAACATAAAATAAAAATTAAATAAAGCAAACAAGAATAACTATTATTAATCATTGGGTTTTATTAATGTTCTGTTACATGACTTAAGTTTTGTTTTCAACACACACAACAAAAGAGAGAGAAAAAGTGGAATGATGAAAGAGAAAACAAAAATATGTGGACCCCACCTCTTAAATGTGTGTGCCTAGGAAAGTGAAATTGTGTTATGTTACATGATAAACATAAGGAAAAAGTTTTTCTCATTTTAAATGACATAATGTTATGTTTTAAGAGAGATAGATACAAAAAAATATTTTTTATTTAAAATTTAAATTAAAAAAAAATCATCCACTTTCTCTCCCATGATTTCCATTTCTTATGTTTATTTCTCTCTTAAAATGACATAACTTATGTCATTTAAAATGACAAACATCACACCCTAAACATAAAACCCTTAATTATTTTATTAAAAAGGCATAGTTGCACTGTTATATGCATTTTCTATATCCATAGATTATATATGTATATATATATATATAGAGAGAGAGAGAGAGAGGAAGAAACGTAAGATCACAAGTGAGCATCATAGGATACATTGTGACGTGATTTGACGAAAATAATAGTCAGAGCTCTTTCTAGTTTGGCTCATAATTGGAATTAAACATTTACTCTCGAGAAGGTGCCAAAACTTCGTTCTATGTGCTAAGAGTCCTCAATTTCATGGTTTCATGCATTGTTCATAGATTCTTCTTGTTCTTTTGTCTTTGTATCAGGTTTGGCATTGGAGGGTTTCTTGAATTTTTTTCACTAATGAATTCTGGTTTTCACTCTGCTTCTCCAACTATTATATTCATATTGGAGTTTTATTCTTTGCATGTAACTTTTTGCTTTGAATTATGTCTAATATATCTTCTTCTTTTTTTTATATTCAATTATCATGTGTTGCCATTGATTTTAATATTAATATTGATTGATACCTACAACTCTACCTTCACTCATGGCGAAAGAGAGGGGTAATGGTTGTACCTTTACTCCAAAAGTTCATGGTGGTACAAGTTTTTTATGCTATTAGATATCTCTCTCTTTTCTGTTTATCGTTTAGTTGTATTAAGAGAGTGGATTGTGGATTCCCCATATATTGGTATCTATTGTTTTTGTTAGGTGTTGCTATCATGCTGTTGCCTTGTATTTTGTGGTATCATTACCGCATTTCAAGGGAAAAACAAATTAATTTCAATTTAGGATATATATCTCATACTATTACAACAAACTAATCATCTTCGTATCTTTTATTTGGGTTCAGCTATTATCGACCCCAATTAGTTTGGGATAAAGATTTTGTTGATGTTAAGTATTACAAACTAACCGTAATTGAAGTTTAAAATTAAGGGGTTTACTCTCATCTCCATTAGACTCTATCAGTGTTCCTGATTTTGGGTATCCTAACCCCATGCCCAATGGGCCAATTCAATGTAGGTTTTTCATTTTTTTTTTTATTTTGTAAAATCCTTTTGTATAACTTGCTCTGCATCTGTGAATGTTTTTTGCTCGATGTTTCCTTGTTTTTTAATGACAGTAAAATAAAGTTGATGGGGTATGCCAAGTTAGTAACTCATGATTAAACACTTCTCTGTTGAAATCCTGTGATGCTACATTAATAATCCTATTATCATTCCGATTATTGCGTTATTCACAGGATAAGTCCCTCCAACAGTAAAATCACAATGTTGGCATCATTCTTGTTCTCCTTCATGACATTAAATTCATTGTTTTGCTCTACTTTGCTTAGAAATGTTCATTTATTATGTAATATGAAGTTCATTATAACTACTTTTAAAATTTCCTGTCTGATTTTCTGTCTCAGATTATTAATTTGTATATCTGATTATTCATTTATCTTAAGAAGCCTAGGAATTGATCTTTATGAGCCTTTGAAGATAATAAAGAGAAATAGAACCTGCACATAGGAAATCTGAATTGACACTATGGCAGAAGACGACATATATACACAAGATGGGACCATTAACATTCACAGAAAACCTGCCAACAAGAAAAAGACTGGAAATTGGAAAGCTTGCTGGTTTATTCTTGGTATGGATTGTTTTTGTTCTCTGTTACTTAGAAACTATGTTGTGTAAAACTTATATGTTTGAAATCTAGTGCATATGTTTGTATTAGAATTTGAAGATCCTAAGATGCTGCATTTTGAAAAATGTGTCAGGAAATGAAGCTAGTGAAAGATTGGCATACTATGGTATGAGTACAAACCTGGTGAACTATCTTCAGGAACGTTTCAACCAGGGAAATGCAGCTGCTGCAAAAAGCGTCAATACATGGTCAGGCACATGCTACATCACACCATTGCTTGGAGCCTTTTTAGCTGATGCATACATTGGAAGATACTGGACAATTGCTAGTTTCTCAACTATCTATGTCATTGTAAGAGAAAATCTTTCTTGTTAGTTGAGGTTCATGTTGTGTTTAAGGCATTTAATCTTCACTCTTCTGATCTGAGTATGTATTTTAAGGTCTGTGAAGTTCAAAGTCAACAAGGATTTTGATTAGCAAGTAAAGCTTGTTGCTGTGCTTAGTCATATTGTCTATCTCTACTCTTTATCTATTACATTATTCTTATAAGCATAGTCCAAAATCTACAGAAACTAGACCCAAGTTTTTTCTTGGTTTTTATTTTTATTTTCCTGAATGTCAAGCTAACTGTATTGCTTTGATAATCATGTTGCTTTCAACTTGACTGAGAACAATATTTCCAGTTTCATGATGGTTTAGAACAATATGAAATTTCCAGTTTCATGTTCCTTTAATCTGCAGTCTATCTTTTAACGCGATTCATTTATTCCATTTGAAATTTTCAAGTAACAGCAACTTATGTTATATTTGAATTGCTTTTTTTTGAGGAATAAAAGGATAAAGAAAGCAAGCATTAACCTTTTGCTGAATTCATAGGAGGGTAAACCATATTAACGATGGATGTTTATTTAATCTGCAGGGAATGATACTTTTAACATTGTCTGCTTCAGCCCCTGGACTAAAGCCATCATGTGATGCTAATGGTTGCCATCCAACATCGGCACAAATTGCAGCATGCTTTATAGCACTCTACTTGATTGCTCTTGGAACTGGTGGTATCAAACCATGTGTCTCATCTTTTGGTGCTGACCAATTTGATGAATCAGATGAGGAAGAGAGAAAAAGGAAGAGCTCTTTCTTCAACTGGTTTTACTTCTCAATTAATATTGGTGCACTTGTTGCTTCCTCAGTATTAGTTTGGATACAAATGAATGTGGGCTGGGGATGGGGTTTTGGAGTTCCTGCAGTTGCAATGGTCATTGCTATTATATCTTTTTTTGGTGGTAGTAAGCTCTACAGACTTCAAGTTCCTGGAGGCAGTCCCCTTACAAGGATTTGTCAAGTCATAGTTGCAGCCTCTAGGAAATTTAGTGTGCAAGTTCCAGATGATAAATCTCTTCTTCATGAGACTGTAGATGTAGAATCTGTCATCAAAGGTAGCCGCAAGCTTGACCACACAAACAACTTCAAGTGAGTTATTAAAGACACGCTTACATTCTATAAACTTCAGTGATGAAAATGAAATCTTCATGCACTTTTTTTTTTTGGGAGGAAGGTGGGGTTACTATCTTCATATACTATTAAGTGTAGGATACAGATATTTATAGTCAACAGAAAGTACTTTCTAGTGATTATTTCATGGGAAAAACTTATGTCACATGACATAAGTTTTCTCTCCTACACACCCTTCGATAACTGTGTCATCTTTTTTTTTTTCCAGGTGGTGGAACCCACTAGTTTGTTTCTATGACATGAGATAACTATCTCTTTTAACATGAGATTAATAAAACCCTTATTTCATTATGAATTTATTGTAGTTTAGTAATAACTTTTATCTATTATAAAGGGTGAAGAGCAGATTAAGCAATTAGAAGTATTTGCAAGCTTCTCCATTTCATATTTTGTTAGGCTTCATATATATATATATATATATATATATATATTGGATTTCTTAACCTGTTCATCGATTATCCAACTAGTTCGGTTTGAGTTCAGTCATACCTGTATATAGGGTATATGGCTCTCCGTATCCCGTTCGACTTGGGCCGGACCATATATTTTGTTTATCCTAAAGTTTGATTTATATTTTTATGTCTTTCTCCGATTAAAAACAAATGCTGATTCCATCCAGGTGTTTGGATAAGGCAGCAGTAGAGACACAATCCGACCGCTTGAAGAATCTGCCGAATTCATGGAGGCTTTGCACTGTTACACAAGTTGAGGAACTCAAATCCATAATTCGTTTGCTCCCAGTTTGGGCAACACTGATTGCCTTTGCAACTGTATACAGTCAAATGAGCACCATGTTTGTTTTACAAGGCAACACAATGGACCAGCACATTGGTCCTCACTTCAAAATCCCATCAGCATCACTCTCCCTTTTCGACACGCTAAGTGTCATATTCTGGGCTCCAGTGTATGACCGCATCATTGTCCCATGTGCAAAAAAGTTCACTGGCCATGAACAAGGATTCACACAACTCCAAAGAATGGGCATAGGCCTTTTCATTTCCATTGTTTCCATGGTTATTGCAGGGATTCTAGAGGTTGTTCGCCTCGACATAATTAGGAGAAACAATTACTATGATCTTCAAACCATCCCCATGTCAATTTTCTGGCAAGTACCACAATATTTTATTGTTGGATGTGCAGAAGTTTTTACCTACATTGGTCAGCTAGAGTTTTTTTATGGTCAAGCACCTGATGCTATGAGAAGCTTGTGTGTAGCTCTCTCACTCACAACTAATGCATTGGGAAATTACATTAGCACTTTACTTGTCACTATTGTGACAAAAATCACCACAAGACATGGTAGACTTGGTTGGATTCCAGACAATCTAAATAGAGGCCATCTTGACTACTTCTACTGGCTTTTGGCCATTCTCAGCTTTCTCAACTTCCTTGTATATATCTGGATTGCAAAGAGGTACAGATACAAGAAGGTAGCTGAAAATACTCGTTGAAATCAAAGCTTAAGGTTGCATAGCTTTATTTGCTGAACAGTTTTACTCTTTTGTGAATAGTTTTTTTTTTATTTTTTCTATCAATTTTTTGTATTGGTACTCTTTGGAGTGTTAGTTAAAGTTGAAATTTGTTCTCTTGTTGGTTTTTTTGAAATTTTCTTAACTTCAAGTTCATATTTGAGATTTGACCCAGAATTTCTTGGGCCAAACATTTTGGGTTCATCCTTGAAGATTCAGTGGGGCAGGGAAGCCACTCCACCTTATATTAGACTTTATTTGCCTCCGGGACATAATAGTAAATGGACAACTATGCAGCCAAGGTGCCACAAAATTTGCATCCGATACAAGATGGATTTTTTTTTTTAGTAAAGTAATTTTTGGGTCCTCAACAAATATTATAGGGTCCAATTGAATACATTAGACAAAAAAAAGTTGATTTGTGATCTCTCTGTAATTCAAAATAGACTTATATTAATCCTTTTTAGGCACTAACGTTGATTTTCTTTAAATGTTAGAGGAATCACAATTTCGATTAACTGTGTCTATTTTAAATTTCAGAGAGATCATAAATCAATTTTTTTTTTTCTAAGAGATTAAAATAGGTCCCATAATTTTTATTGAGAACCAAAAAGATACTTTACTATTTTTTTGGTAAGCATATGGATGAGCTGCGTTTAAGGTGTACCTCTTGAAATAAGTTATGTAGTTGAACCTCAGAATCATGAAAATGAATTGTTTTACCTTAAAAATTCGCATGATTTTATTATGTAAAAAGTTCATGTTTATTTTATTTTTTATATATATTTTATTTGAAAGATTCTATCAAAATTTGTAGATATATATAAATGAGAAAGGTAAACACAAATTTAATTTGAAAAGACAATCTAAAACTTTTAACATAGTTCTGTTCGCCTGCATTTTTGAATAGCATGTTGGGCATCTGTTACCTACAAGCATCTCTTAAAGGCGTGACATAACTCCTTTATAAATCAGCATCCTTGCTTAAAGGTTTGTAAGACCGAACAAGGTTAGAGAAAGGTAAGGTGTTTTAGGAGGACGGGTGTAAAGGAAAGAATGTGAGAGAAAACAAATATAGCTGTTAGGATTTTTGAGTGCAACATGCATGCATGGTCAACCAAGCCTCTCAAAGACAATCTCTTTTCAAACCATAAGGCCCATTATCTCACAAGATCACCATGGAGAATTTCTCTCAAATTTTTTGAAAATGTGATTTTAATAAATCAATTCCTCATTTTTAAATTCAAATTAGATTTGATCTGATTGAATCTTTGATAAGAATTGATCTTATCAAATCTTTGATAAGAATTGATCTTATCAAATCTTTGATTAATTTTTAAATCAAAATATAAATTAAGATAAGATTTCATCTCATCAAATCTATATCACATAAGGTGGTGCATCCACCCATTAGAGCAAAATACTAGTGCAATAGTTTTCTTATGCCTACATGGGTCAAGCTCAAGTGTTAGATCTCATTCAAATAGATGATTCTAAACATTCTTACTTGATCATTTTAAAAAAAAATTCTTTGTCGATCCTATCGCATAAAACCCATGAAATTCAATCATCCATTTTAAGCCCAAAATAATGTGTTAATCCATAGACTCTATACCATTAAAAATGATATAGATATGTGACTTATTAGTACCGTTTAGCCACAAACATAAATAAATTTGATCCAATTAAACTCCTTTAATTGGCTAACCTATTTAATGACCACACTTTGTAGTCCCGTAATTAAATGAAAGATAAGTCGTGCTAATACATCCCTTCATTTGATTATCCATCTTTCGATCAAGAGTAAGAATATCGTATTTATTCTTTAGCTATCGAAAGAAAGTTTTTCCAAAACTACGAGTCTTCTTCCAAAGACTCCAAAAGCGGATCCATGAACTTCTTCATGAACCCTTTCATGTGCATGTATTCTTCGGTCTTGTGAAAGTCATTGAGTCCCATCAGTTTCTTGTGGACAACTAATCTCTTACAGAGATAATGAGTCTTTGTTCTTGTCCATTTGTCTTCATGGTCTCAAGTGATACCAAAAGTACATCATTCTGTCAATGTTTCACGTAAATAGAGATACACAAACCCTTAAACATAATATTCGATGACATCCAATGATCCATACTACCAAATGATAAGAGACTATCCAATGATACATGTTATAAGGATTTCTAGTGGAGTCTCTTCATGGATTGGTTGAGTGCAATTTGTTCCACTAAAAAATCATCCTTCAAGATTAGCTAATCAAATAGAATAGTTAAATCCTCATGATATAACCGTACATCCTCAAGCCATTTAAACATATTAACCATACTCAGTTCATTTTTTTCCCTTTAATTTGCCAGAGGTCTGAGCAAGCTGTTAAGCTTTGCAAAGGATGGGTCCATAGCTGAGTTAGATGTGGAGGAAAAGGATATAAATAATAAGTTAAAAAAAAACCCGATTTAAGGTGGTGCAGTAGTGCACCATATAAGTTACGCTTCCAAATATACAACACAAGACACATTTACTGCTGCAAACTTTTGCTTGTTTAGCTATTATTGTATGATGTCAAAATAGGTTAAAATTGTTGGGTTGAACTATTTATCAGTTTAGGTTGTACAAATATTATTCTATTTAAGCTAAATAATTTTTAATTAAATATAAAACCAAAATTAAATATGAATTTCCCAAAATATGAAAGTCCTAATCAAATCCAATAAAATATAAAATCCTAACATCATAATAATAACCTAAGGACATATCGAACCAAATTAAATCAAATCACTCTTTGTTAAATCTTAACTAACGAGGGTAGAATAAAGATAATTTTTATATGAAACCTTATCATGATATATTTATAAAAAAATTGTTTTTCAAATTTGAAACTGACAGTTTAATTAGAAAAAAAAAATAGCTTTAATGTTACTCAAGGCTCGCCCTCATCCTAGGGACATATATGATTTATTAAAAATAAAATCCTTAAAAAATATCTCTTAAATAAAAGAAAATTGCAAAATTTATAAAAATAATGTAATGATTCTCAAATAAGAATAATTTTTACATGTGCTTATTCATTCGGCATCAAGTTTATATATATATATATATATATATATATATATAGAGACACACACAACATCAAGTTTTATATTTGAAACAAAAATTACAATCCTTGTTTTCAATAGATAATGTACGGAGGACGAGAGGCTCAAAATACTTGCTGTCCACACAATTAAATAAATCCCTGCTACACCCCCTTTCTGCCCCAATTCCCTTTACCTTTTTCTTTCACCCTTGCAAATACATAGTTCCCACTGTTATGCAAAAGATGATTGCCCTCAAATCCATTCATCCTTCCTTCAGTACTACCTACATCAAGTATAATATCCACTGCAGAAGACTATTCAGCACAAGAAGTTCAATTTTGTGCCTCTGCAAGTCCAATGAGTCAGATTCCCAAGCTCCCCAACCTGGAGATACTCGTAAACAAGAGCTGCTAGCCCAAATTGCCATGCTTCAAGCTCAGAAAGTCCGTGTTACAGATTATCTAGATGAGAGATCTGCATATTTAGCCCAATTTGGTGAAGAAGCCAACGCTGAGTTTGAAAAGATTGCAGAAGATGCCCTCAAAGGATTAGACGAAGCTGGTGCCAGAGTATGCTTCAACCTTTTGAGCTAATCATGTAAATCATGCACAGCATGAAGGGAAATCTGCACGTTAAAAATTACTTCAATAATGATTTCTCTTATATTTACTTTGTGATTAACAGATAACAGCAAACATAGAGAGTCAGATGCTAGAATTCGAGGAATTAGCAGAACTTAACAGACAAGAGATTCAGAAGCGTGAAAACAAACTAGAGAAGTTTGAAGTTCAAATGGAGGATGACAGAAACGAAGGTCTATTCTTTAAGAACCTCAGAAAGAAGACACCTGTTGATAAAGCAAAAGCCAAGGAGGAGGCAGAAAGAATCAAAGATGTAACAAGAGAAAAAGCTGGTAGCAAAACCAGGAAAAACATTTACCTCTTCTTCATTGGCCTGCTGACCTTTATAATAATTGATTCTATTGCCTCGTCATCAACTGATTGGAGAAAAATAGCAGTTTTTGGAGCTATTCTTGTAGGTTTAATTTCTCAGTTCATCTATGAACAAAATATGTCATCAGAAACTGTAACAAGAAAGACCAAGAATGAAGAGAAAAATAACTGAAGTTCAATTTTTAATGTTATTCACTGCACGTTTCTGGAAAAGACAGTATTATCAATGGATATGGCGTGATGTAATAACCCCAAGTAAAGGCTTAAAACTTGGGCCTGATAACATCACGCAGCTTTGCTTTGGCATCAACAACAGCAGTTGTCGGTGATATCACTACAATCACCACAATCTGAGTAACTGGATTACCATGTGATGCTGATGAAATTGTTTACATCCTATGTTAACACAGAAAAACATGCTTTTCTTAACATCATAGCTTTTAGAAATGTACATTAAGAAGCTAACTTTTATCTATGCATCTTCTATCATATAAACAAGTAAGGAGAAACTAATAACTATGCAAAGGTCATTGCTTTTGTACAGCTTAACCAGTTGGTGTATCAAATAATGAAGTATAATAATTGCTGTCCGAAACTCCCAATACCTTAAAGAAAACAACCAAACCAAGTAAAGCCTGAGGCAGATAAATATCTCTCAAACCAAAACAAATCACCCTTTCTGTTCAGACAACTCCAAACTTTAGGCACTTCCTCAAGGCAAGCTGTATTGCACCCAAGTACTCAACACCATTAGCCCTGCTTGGGTTAAAACCTAAACATATTAGTAATCCTTTTTCAGGTGAGATACCAACAAAATTGCCTGTATTTTAATATAATGTCTGTAGCTGCTGTACTCAACGAGTTAAAGAAAAAAGTAGGAGCTGAAACTATTACTTTAATCTTTTGTAGCGCCCAGAAGAATCAAGTTGAAGCCCCATAAAAAATCACTGCTCTAACTAGTATATTCCAAGTAATGGCAGTTGGCAGAACATCATGCACCAAAGCATCATCTAGAAACACAATTGCATCCGTCACTCTACCACACGAGCAGAGCCCCATAAGAGTAATATTATACGAGATGATGTCAGGTTGTAGCCCATCTTCTGAGATATTAGCCCAAATCTGGGATGCCTTTTCACAGTCACCAACTTTGTAAAAACCCTCCATAATGGTATTGTGGGTCACAAGATTAACACAGTTCCTCTTTCTCATCATTGAATAGAGCTGCAAAGCATACTCCACTTTGCCAGAAGAACATAATCTATGGATTACAATGTTGTACATAGTGGTATCAGGCTTAAACCCCATGTCCAGAAACTGATGCCACAACCTAAGGGCTGTGTCAATCATTTTGCTCTGGCAAAGACCATCTATCAACGTGCTGTATGTGATAATATCTGGTTTCCACCCGTTCTCCAACATTTCCTTAACGTAATGATGTGCCTCACGAAATCTTTCTGCTTTACATAATCCATTTATAAGAATATTATAGGACACAATAGTAGGTAAGCAACCTTTAATGCTCATTTCCCTAAAGAATTGAATAGCACTGTCAACTTTAGAATGTTTGATAAACCCATCAATCAGTGCATTGCAGACATGAGGATTCAATTTACAGCCACGCTTATCCATAAGATTGACAAGTCCAGCTGCTTCCTCCAATCTTCCTTCTTTGCATAAAGCATTTATCATTGAGGAGTATGCAAAGGCATCAACATCACCTCCCCTATGTTCAGCCTCTTCTAATGCCCGTAAAGCCATATTCAGGTACCCATTCTTACACAAACCATGAATTAATATTCCATAAGTAGTGGAATCTGCACTAAAAGCTGTCTCATTCAAGATTTCCCATAGCGATAATGCTTCTTCCCCCTTCCTGTTTTCAAGCAACCCCTTGAGAAATATGTTATAACTCACCATATTACGAGAGCCATACTTCTCCATTTCCTCCCACAACTTAAAACTCTCATCAACCTTCCCTGCTTTACACAGTCCATTAAGCATAGCATTACAAGTAACAACATCCGGTCTAACCCCTCTCCCAACCATCTCCTTATAAACTCTTTTGGCTCCATCCAAGTTCCCTGCCTCACTCAACCCATGAATCAGAGAACTATACGTAAACAGATCATGCGTCCTCTCATTCCTCTTCATCCTGTCCCATATCTCCAAACTCTGATCGAACTTCCCACACTTGCACAGCCCACTGATCATAACATTGTAACTCACAACATTTGGAAAAACCGATTCCTCGCGCAACAACCTCTCCCACATCTCATTAGCCTTATCAAAATCCCCCTTTTTGAAGAACCCATCAATGATCATGTTATAACACATCACATCAGGCTCCACCCCTCGTTCAGACATTTCATCGAACACCTCCAACGCAGAACACAAATCACCACACTTCGCCACTGCACTGATCAAAGTTCCATAAGTAAACTTATCAGGCCTCATACCCACATCCCACATCCACTTCACCAACCCTTTGGCCTTCTCAAACTCCTTCTTCTTACACAAAACCTTCATCAGAACATTGTAAGTTTCCACGTTTGGCGACACATCCACTGTCTCAAAGTACGCGAAAAACTTCTCCGCACGGTCCCATTGCTTCGATTCCACGAAAGCATTGAGAAGAGAATTGAAGGACCTTATTCCAGGGCAACACCCAAAAACCTGTTCCATTCTTTGAAACAAGTCCAAGGCTTGATCGGGCATGGAGTTTTTGGCGTAAGCCTTCATCACGGTGAGTGCAACGTCTTCGGGGCATTTGCACTTCTGGGTCTGGATGGTTTCCACGACACGGCCAACGTTGGCCCGGAGGAGGCTTGGGTCGGCGGCAATACGCCGGAGTATGTGGTGGAAGACGGTGGAGGAGTGGATGTAGCCGTGGCGGCGCGTAGCATCGTCGAAGAGTTGGAGTGCTGAGTGGTGGTTCTTCTCTGCTTTGAGGAGCTTCAAAAGACGCTGCGGAGACAGTGTCTTCGGAAGCTCCACCATGGCACGGACAATTATGAATTAGACCTCCCCTGACTACCTGAGTTGAATTATGCTCGTTTTGGTTTTTTTTTTCCCTTAAATAATTAAATAAAAGAGTAAATACTTTTTTTTTTTTTGTGCCTAACAAAAAAATACGGTCTCCACTTTAGTCCCTTACAAAAATAAATTAGTCAGTTAGTCCCTAACAAATTCAAAGTGGACCCATTTAGTTGAAATTGTGGTCCCTCACAAATTCAAAAAAGACCCATATTAGTCCCTCAAAAGGACTAAAATATGTCCACTTTGAATTTGTTAGGGACTAACTGACTAATTTATTTTTGTAAGGGACTAAAGTGAGGATCGTATTTTTTGTTAGGGACCCAAAAAGATATTTACTCTAAATAAAATTATATTCAAGAGTTATGAAAAGTTTTTGTTGATTTTGGTATTGGATTAAATTTATTTTTTATACACATAAAAATATATGGGGTTCATGTACGTCCATATGAGAAGCCCTTGTAGTCTTGAAGCCTTGTTTCATTTTCCAGCAATCATAGAATTCCCAAATCTTAAGCTTAATTGTTTGGGCTTTGTAGGCATGCTCATATGTCTCATTACTGTGAACAATTGAATTTCTCCAAGTCCAAGCCATCCACACCGCCACTGCAAAAATTAAGGCCCATGGAGTATTGAATCTCACATAGGATTCTCTTTTCAAATTTTCCAGCAACCATCTATCAAGATCATGGTTTTAAAAATTCAGGAATCAGATCTTAGTTCACCAGCTCCAACCATACCTTCTTCATGTTGCTACAATCTCTAACCATGTGAAGGATAGTTTCATCTTCCACATTGCATAAAGGGCACGTAGCAGAGGCTAACCTTAAATTTGCTAACCAGCTTCTAGTTGGTAAACGATGATGAGCCATTTTCCAAAGAAACAAACTAATCTGATTAGGTCCTTTAATATTCCAAATGTGATGCCAAATCTCTCATTTCTCCAAGATGATCTCATCATGTTCCCTTAGAGCAAAATATATTTGTTTGACTGTGCTCCCATTTGATCCCCCAAGGTTCCAACAGATTTTATCTATCCCATTAGATGCATGAGGAGGAAGAAAACTTCTAATAACCTGAATATCCTTCTCTGATAGGAATTGTTGCATGGCATCCGTATTCCACTCAATTTAGACTCACATAATCCATAACATTTTTATGGATTTCTGTCTGTGGGATAGGAGTTATAACTTTGCTGGCCAGATTTTGATCATGCTTCAACCACTTGTCTTCCCAAAATTTAACAGAAGAACCATCCCCAACATCCCAAATTAATCTTGGTTTGAGTTTGTGCCAAACATCACACATAGCCTTCCAGAGTCTTGAGCAACCACGTTTCGACATAAACTCCTCCTGACCATTAATAAGACTGCTGTATTTTTCTTGTAGAACCTTAACCCAAAGATCATCTGGCCTATTTAAAAAGGACCAAATCAGCTTTCCCATGAATCCCTCATTCATTGTTGATAACTTCCTCAGGCCCAACCCTCCAACACTCTTTTGCCTAGTAACTTTATCCCAGGCAATGAGATGCAAATTTCTTTTTCCCTCTGAATCTCCCCATAAGAATCCTCTTTGAACCTGCTCTAACTCTTCACAAACATATTTTGGGATCATAGTACTCTGCATATGAAAGAAAGGCATCGTAGATAAAACTAACTGAGATAAAATTACTCTACCCGCTTGAGAAAGGGATTGCCTATGCCATGCAGACAACCTCTCTTTAACTCTATCAATAATTCCAAAGAATAGATTCTTTGTCACACGACCCTGTTGAATCATCGCCCCAAGATATCTCCCCACAATTGTTACTCGCTTAAAACCACTAATATCAATGATTTTGTTAGCTATGTCATTCGGAGTATTCTTCGAAAAGAACACAGTGGTTTTTTGCTCACTCGCCTTTTCACCAGAAATTTCCCCAAATAGACCAAGACATTGGAGAAGAACATAAACTTGATCCTCATTTGCTTCTAAGAAAAGCATCATGTCATCCGCAAAGAGTAAATCTGAGATTAAGGGCCCATTTTTTGCTGCCTGGATAGGCTTCCACAAACCTCCGCTGATAGCAGTGCTAATTATATGAGAGAGCTTTTCCATGGCTAGAACGAAAAGGTAAGGTGACAAGGGATCACCTTGCCTAACACCCCTACTCGGTTGGAATTCCTCAGTAACTTTCCCATCCCAAATCAATGCTGTCTTGGATGATGTTACTACTGCCATTGCTAGTTCAAGAATTGTATTCGGAATCTAGATTTCTTCCATAACATTACGAATGAAATTCCAATTTAACCGATCATATGCTTTTTCTAGATCCACTTTGATAGCCATGAAACACTTTCTACCCCGCATTTTTCTCATTGAGTGAACTAATTCTTGAACCATAATTATATTATCTTGAATATGACGATTGGGAACAAACCTTGTTACAAGAATCAATAAAAAAATAACAAAGAAATGCAATTATATTAATAAAAAAGTAAAACATATTATACTTTTCTCAATCAATAAAACATAATATAATTTTTAATGAACATTCAAAATTACTAAGAAACAACTCTATATATCTAAAGCTATACTAGTCCTCCACGCATTAGCAATTTCTCATTTCTGCTCTTGGGTTTCACTAATGCGTTGAAAATTATTTTATTCATTTGGTATAAGAGCTATGCATATATGATTATAAGATCCAATTTTTTTATTTATTAAAATAATTCTAAATTTACATATAGAGCCTAAAGTTCATGATAAAATTTCTTTTGAAATTTTTTGGAATTGATCTTGGAAACTTTGGGGTTTTTGTTCTACATGATGAGAGTTTTCTAACCATATATCTTATGCATGTTTTCATTGAGTATTGTAAAAAAATTTCGAATCTAAATTTTTAGGTTTTATTACATGAAAGTTTAGAAATTTTCTCAAATTATTTTCAATCGATACATTGAAACCTTAAATTGCTTTGAGGCTTTTGAAAAACAAGTCTTTAGTTATCTATTGACACAAAAATTGTTTGAAATCATTTTCTATAGCCAAGAAATTTCGTTCATGAATGTATTGTTATGAAATATAGGGTTCATATTATGAAAGTTTCAATCTTTCTTTAAATTGATATTGTTTCATTGACGTAAATCAAAAATTGGTTTGAGGGTTTTAGTTCCCCTATTGTTTTCCCATTGTTTTATGTTGTTTTTAATACAAAAATCACACCTTTTTGCGCAAAAAAAATCGTGACCTATAGCTTCAAAAATTATTCTTTAAACATCCAAAAGCTCTCAAAAATCTGCTATTTTGAAATGGATTATAATAGAATCTTGTTGGTTTGTTGTTTCTGAGTTATTTTATGATGAAAATCACTCAATATTTTTTTTTGTTTATGAGCTTTGATGATACTCCTATGGTGGAACCTGCCAAAAAAAGAAGAAGACACTGCAATAGATAAATCTCAAGAAATCCTAGGGGTTAGGGTGAGATTGTGAAAGAGGCATTCTGTTTATATTTATCACTAAAAAGTCTCACGAAATCCACACTAATAGAAAATCCATTAAAATCGTCAGATTTTTGAATACCACAAGATTGTTTTTCCTTTCTTTAAAATCCTGATTGAATACCAACGGATTTGGACGGATTCTAAAATAATCTTTTAAAATTCTAATCGAATACCACATGACTTTTTTTTCAATCCTTTAAAATTCTAATTGAATACCAATGGAAATTTTTGTCTAAAAATAATCCATTAAAATCTTTTGAAATCCCAATCCAATACACCCCTAAATTTTATCACTCAGAAAGAAATAATCGATTACAAGGAAACTTTTTGTTCTATATCTAAAAAAATTCTCTTTGTATCATTATACAAGAATTGATTACATGTGTCTCCCTTGGAGTTTCAACAAATGGATATAAATTTTTTCAATGGAGTTACATGGAACGGTTAGAAGGGTTTTACTCTAATGATCGGTCAACATTTTATTAGAGCTTATGCGGAAAGCTCTATGCTGCAAAAGGACAAATGAACAAATCCTAACTACAGAAGAAGAAGAGATAAATGACTAATATAACTAAATATTATTGATTTGATCCGAATGAATATTACACAATGGTTGCACCTATATATACAAAAGGAAAGTGCTCTACTAAACTAACATACACTTAGGGATATTCGTCAACCGATCCAAACTGATTCCAAACGTGGTGACCAAACTGAAAACTGAAAATCGAATTAACCAAAAATCGAAAAAAAAAATCGCAAAATTTAATTGGATTAGATCGGTTTTGGATGAGTTGGTGAAAACTGATCCAATCCAAACTGATCCAATGATTCTCCAACCATACCATCTACCTACTTGGGCCTTTCCTCAATCATAGCCCAAAAATCATATAGCAAAATTCTAAATTCAAGACGCATTAACTTATCATGTTGGAGAATCTCATCATGTTGGAGAAAGTGAGTTGTGTTTGATCTATGTTATACTTTTTTTTTTGTAAGATACATGAAATATTTTTATTACATGGGTTATTGTTGTACAACAGCTCCTCTGTAGGTTGAAAATTTGGGTTATTTCGTATCTCATGAAACCATATTATAAATTTTTGGTTGGAAGTAAAAGATGATAATTTAACTTTTTGTTGTACAATGATTCTAGATTGCACAATAATCACCATATAAACTTTACAAAGCCGATAAATACAAAAGATATGTTATTTACACAATAATCATCATACAAATCTTAGGATCTACACGATGACGAATATCCTAAGGGGATTTGGTCATTTTTACTTTTGAAAATATGTTTCCTTGGTCCCATTTTTGCGCATTTTATTATTATGAATGCTGTTATTTAATTCCTATTTCTTACTATCCAACGATAACAAATAATGATGACTCATCATTTCAATGGACAGGAGATTATGTAAAACCTATTGAACTTGTCATAAACTAGGAATCTATATTCTAAAATGGATTA